GAAATGACAGTGAATCAATTATCTAGTGAATGAGCCTAGACCATTCTCCAGTATCAGCCTCTCTGTCAACCTTTGTTGCTTCTTTATGATTTGTAACTGGGAAAACAAAACCAGAAAACATTGAACACGAAGTACGTAAGAGCCTTTTAGGGCTTCCTATCATGAGTTATATAAGAACTTAGTGCAAGTCAAAAACATCTTTCTTAGTATAATTAGATGCTTACAGCACATTGGACTCAAAATTAGGACTCAAGGATTAGAAAAGTGTGTAATACATGTCCTTTAATTCAAATTTGGAGATACATATGTCATTTTCCAAGGAAATGTCAACATTTTCTAAATTTTTTATGATAAAAGTTAGGATTATGAAGGTAATTTATTTCACTGATTACAACATGTTGATGCAGGTTACTGTAGGGTATAAAAATATTTCCTTTTTTACTGCTTTTTTGTAATTCTCTATCAATGTCTTCATTTTGTTCTTTCTAATCCTTCGTATCTGTTTTTCAGGTACCATTTACTCATTGCTGTCTGTCGTGAGAGTGCATGCTTTTAGCAAAAAGACAGCTAGCTCCACCTTTCTAAGTTGCTGCATCCACTGTAATTATAAGCTCAGTCCTGAAAAAAAACCAAACAAACAAAAAAATAAAACATATGAGGGTAATTAAGTAAGTTAGTAAAATTCGTAAACCAAGGAAGTTTGTAAAAGTCGATGCCTTTGTGCCAGCCATTTTAGCTCTTAGTTCACCAGTGTGTTAAAGAGCCGAGGCTTCTGGAGTATTTTTAATATTGAGAATACTTTCAGTGTTATTTTCACTAAAATTTCAGCAGAGAAAGCTTATGATAACTCATTTTCATTTTATAATTTTCTGTTATTTCAACAACTGAATACCAACATTACTACATGGTGAAAAATATTGCCTATTTCCCATAATTTTTAGCATTATTCAAAAATACTGATATGTTTTATGTGCCAAATATTCTGTTTTCCGTTAATATTTTGGCAGTAGTATCAAGTTTGACACTAGAACATTTTAACTTGGAATCATAATTGTGTTTATGTATTCATGGGCTTAAAATTATGCAGAATACTTAGATAAACCATATCTTAGCACAATTTCATTAAATTTTGCTCTAAAAGCATAATTCACATGATTTTCTCTAAATTATGAGCAGGGAGCCACTTTGCCTGACTACTGTTTTTTTATATAAACTTTTTCATGAACCTGTACTCAATTACTTTTTAATCTTCGCTGAATGTAAATTATATAAAATGTATGAAAACATGTGTCTGTTTTCCAAAAAGCTGCAGGCGGTGCCTGAAACAGACTGGATTCACTGAATTTAGAGAAAGACATGAGAAAAAAAAAAAGTTGAAGTCGGTCTAACAATTATGTCCACGATGCCAAATTACTGTTTTTAACAAGTTTTTTTGTAATGTTATATGAATATCAAGTCGACCTTGCTTTACTTAAATAAAATTATGACAGGACAAATGAATACATAACCTATTTGAAAAAAATAATAAAATATTTGTGGAATGCAAATAGAGGATCATGATTCAGTAAAATAAGCATAATTCCAAGTACACACATATAATTCTAAGTACACATACTCAAATTCAGATGTACAAGAAATGATACATTATATTTCAAAAACAGCATTTAACTTGAATTTAAAACTCTATTCCCACATTAGTTTGGTAGGAATGTAGATTTTACTGTTTCTTCCACGCTACCCAAAAGTTTAACAAAGTTCTAAGTTTAAAGTATGGAGTAGATAGGGCTCCAAATCAAAGGAGGGCATTCAGTGAGACTTGGTCTTTGGTCCAGGTGGGCAACCTCAGGTTATCCTAACCCAGCTGGCCCATGAAGTCAGGAAAAGCTGAGGCATCTGTTCAAAGCTTAGGCTTTGTAATCTTTTCCCAGACTGGAAGCCTTGGTGCCCAAGAATTTGTCTTTCTATTTGGTAGCATAATCTAATTGTCCTCTGAAATCTCGACTCCGATTCCAGGTTTCAGGCAGGAGGTGGGTGTGGATGACAATTCTCTTTTAATTCTAAACCCTAACTTCCTTGCTGGTCTTGTGGAAATCTGTATTGTTACCTCAAAACCCCAACACCCAAGTCACTAAGCTACCTGCATCTCTTTTGCTTAGCCAGCTCTGCTCTGTAAATCTCATGTATGTAGAACACAAGCCAGAAGGGAGGTTGTCCGCTGGCAATTTCTACGTTCAACTAAGTTAACAGAGGTGGTAAATATTAAGAACACAAAACACAAATTAATTGCTTGGAACATTATCATGACACAGTTTTTTCTTTATTTGACTCTTTAAATTCAGCCTGTATAAGTTTAGTCTCTATGATTTATGTACTTATATTCCGCTTTATTCTAAAAGGAATTACAAAAGAATGCATTCTTTCTAAAAGATATTCCTAAACTAAAACATAGCCTAGAAAGCTTCTGTATTTTCAAATACGTAAACTAACAAAGAAGCGCCCAGGAGAATTTAAATTTACGGAAGTAAAATTGTTCCTAAAATTTGAACCCCAACTATATTTTTTGTTCCATTACCTTCTTCCTATACCAAAGTAGAAACAATAATTGGAATAAAGTCTTTACCAAGTGAAATAAAAATGTCGTATAGAGAGTATAGATATAAATGCTATAATGAGGGGGCAAAGAACATTGTGTTCTTGCCTGGTTCCTTCATAACACAGAAGCAAAACAGAAGTTCACAAAATAGGTATTTTCCGTAACCAGACTCTAATTATGTGACTCACTTTTTAGAGACTCTAATGATAAATGAGATTTCTCATCATCAGACTTAGCTTTTCTCAGTGTCAAATTATGCTTGGAAAATGAGTGTTCCTGTCTCCCAACTAGCAAGAACTAGTTGTCCCTTTCTTTGTGACAGTAAAAGATGATCATATGAAATGTATTCTATTACAAATGATAACCAGAATGGTGTAAAGCTTTCATTGCAAATACTACTTCTATTATATAATGTAAAGTGACAGAATGTATAATGAGGTGCAAATTGTATCTTCAATTTGAAGATCTTCAATCTTCAAATTTCATATGAACTTGAGTCCCTGCTTAATTCTTTACCAACTTTTTATGCTTTGGAAAACAAAACAACTTGATTCATTCTTAAAAACAAAGCTTCATACTAAACTATTTAGTACCACAGATAATTCTCATGTATGCTTTTAATAGTAGTAATAATAAAACATCCAAGGACCTACCAGCGAGCTCAAGAAATATAATTTTGAAGACCTATGTGACCCTTTCTCCAGCTGTCGCCACCTGCTTTGCTGTGATGAGTAGCAACTCTCCCAAGTTTTGAGTTTATCATTTCTTTGCATTATCTTTCTTTCATAAATTGTAAAAAATAAAACTACATAAAAGTATGTAAAGTATAAATGCAAATTTTAACAATCTTAGGAAAGGAGCACCCCTACAACCCTAATTAGAACACTGTGTGTTCCTTCCTGATCACATTCTCTTCTCCCAGCCCCCCAAAATAACCATTATAAAGACGATTTGGGGGTTATAGCATATAAGGGAGTGAATAGGAGTAACCTTCCTACCAAAATTTGGTTCAGAGTCTGAGACTGATGATACCACACAGTATGAAGAGGGATTTATTACTCACATAATGAAGCTTTCATGCAAGAATAGTGCAGCTCTCAAGCAGGTCTATAAAGCAGAGAGAGAAAGGACAAGTGACTGCTTTGTCTTTTATTGTAGTTAGGAGGTGGGGCCAGGACGAGTGTTCCCACACAGCACTGGGCTTGGGGTTTGTGTGGCTGGAACCTCCCTGGCACCAAAGGAGTAAGCGTGTGGACTTTATTACTGACTTGCCAGATACAGGACAAGATGGTTAAGAAGGAGGGGTGGGCCTTCCAATGTTCTCAGAAATCAAATATCAAAAACAGAGTCAGACTCTTTACTACAGACTTGTAATTACTTTCTTGACATTTTTAATAGTTTTATTTATGAATTATCTATTCTTTAAAAATGTTTGTGTTGACTGGTTTCTTTGCTAAATATTATCATTTAAGAATTTATGATGTCTCACCTCTGGTTATAGTTCTTTCATTTGGGTGGCTATATGATAATGTAATATTTGAATATACTACAATTTATTCATCTTTTCTATTGTTTCCAGTTTTGACTCCTTCAAACAATGTGACTATTTAAAAATATTGTAAATGCCTCCTTTATACAAATGTATGAATTGTTTTGCCTGTGTGCATGTGTACACATGCAAGGTTACAGAGTGGATACTCTATATGTATCCACTATCTATATCTCAAATACATATATATTTTTTGTATATTTGAGCCCTTTTCTATGTATTGCAAATTTTATCTTCTATCCTACGCCTGTATTTTCAATTTTTTAGTAGTGTTTTTTTGATGAACAGATGGCTTAAATTTAATTTGGTCAAATATATCAGTCTTTTTATTTATTATTTTTTTTACTGTATATTGTCTAAGAAATCCCTACTGTGTGTTTATTAAGATTTTCTCCTATTTTAATGTCTACACCATTTATTACTTTGCATTTCACATTTAAATCTGTACTCTATCTGTAAGTGACTCTGTGTGTGATATGAGGTAGAGAATGTGGCTCATGTTTTTTTCCCTTGTGGATGGCCATTTTTTCCCCAGCGACATTTATTGAAAACACTGTCCTTCTCTCCATTAATATGCAGTCTCATCTTTTTGTTCTTATCCCTCTTTTTTATATTCTAATGATCTATTTCTCTATTTCTACCCCAGTACAAACTATATTAATTACTGTAGATATTTAGTAAATATTGACATCCAATAGGAAGAGTTTATCCACCTTGGGAGAACATTTCCAACACACCCGTACTTCTCTGCCTGCCCGGCTTGGAGCAGGGCAGCTGGCCCTTCATAACATTTTGAAGGCCTACTCCCTTCTAGACCAGGAACTAGGATATTGCTAAGGTCTCAGCTTTGTAGCAGGCATTTTGCTTCTTCATATGAGTGAGGAAGAGGCATTCAAAATGCTCAAGTTTCTGATGTTTGACACGGGGCTACGGAAACAGTATCGGCCCTACATGATTATTTTACAGATCCAGATGTACCAGCTCTCGAGACTGCTCCACGATTACCACAGAGACCTCTACAATCACCTGGAGGAGCACGAGATGGGCCCCAGTCTCTATGCCACCCCCTGGTTCCTCACCGTGTTCGCCTTCCAGTTCCCTTTGGGATTTGTGGCCAGGGTCTTTGATATGATCTTTCTTCAGGGATCAGAGGTCATATTTAAAGTGGCTTTAAGTTTGTTGGGAAGCCATAAGCCCTTGATTCTGCAGCATGAAAATCTGGAAAACATAGTTGACTTTATCAAAAACACACTACCCAATCTGGGCTTGGTCCAAATGGAAAAGACCATCAATCAGGTGTTTGAGGTGGACATCGCTAAACAGTTACAAGCTTATGAAGTTAAGTACCATGTGCTTCAAGAAGAACTTATAGATTCCTCTCCTCTTGGTGACAACCAGAGAATGGATAAATTAGAGAAAACCAACAGCAGCTTATGCAAACAGAACCTTGGCCTCCTTGAACAGTTGCAGCTGGCAAATGGTAAGATCCAAAGCCTTGAAACCACCATCAAGAAGCTCCTGAGCAGTGAAAGCAAGCTGAAGTAGGCCACCCTTGCCCTAGAGCTGGAGCAGACAGCCCTGAGGCAGACAGTGGAGGAGCTGCAGAGGCAGGCCGTGAAGCTGAGCCTCTTCTTCTTTGATTGTGTTGACAATTCTTGGAGGTTTGTATTTGTTTCCATTTTCAAATCAGCTTAAAAATGACAACACACACACATACACACACACAAAGTCCTTTAACTGTTGGAATTTTAATTGGGTTCATATTGAACCTACAAACAATTTGGAAAGAATTGATATACACACACACACACTAAATTGAGTCTTCTAATACATATACCTCTCTGCTATAATCCAAATATTTGTGTTTCCCCAAAATTCATATGTTGAAAGTCTAACCTCCAAGGTAACAGTATGAGGAAGTGGGGCCTTTGGGAGTGATTAGATCATGAAGGCAGAGCCTTTGTGAATGGGATTAGCTCCCTTATAAAAGTGGACCCAGAGAGACCCTCACCCCTACCACCAAGTGAGAGCACAGCAAGAAGTCACCATCTACGAAGAGTAAGAAGACATCAAATCTGCTAGTGCCTTGATCTTGGACTTCCCAGCCTCCAGATGTGAGAAATAAATTTATGTTGTTTATAAGCCACCTAATTTATGATGTTTTGTTATAACAGACATCCTCCATTTGTTTGGATCTCCTTTTTTATTCACTATACTTATTTTTGTTGATTTATTAGAGTGGCTAGTATACTCATTACAACACGGAACAGACAGAGTTGTAGTAGACATCTTTGTTTTGTTTTCCATTTTAAGAATTTATCGATTGTGACTAGCTAGTAGTGTGTTGTTGCTTTTACCATTCTATACCTTTACAGTTTTTTTTGACTGTTTTTCAGTTCCCATGATTTTTTTTTTTTACTTTTCCCATTATTGTAGCAAATTTGTTCTCCTTTTAGTTCTTTTAGCTTGTGCTTTATATCATTATAATTTGATGTTATGTTATTGCATATATAGATTTATGTTTCTTCCTGATAAACTGAAAAATTTGTTTTTACAAAGGATTTTTCCCCACAAATAATGACTTGTGATTTCAAGTATACTTGTCTGATGTTACTAGGTTACAACAGATTTATGTAGGCTGATATTTACTTACATATCTTTCTGCATCATCTACTTTTATGTTATTGTTATCTTTATATTTTATAAGATTTCTTACTGAAAGAATATCACTGGCATTCGTTCTGCTTTGTTTGCCTTTGTATTTGTTGTATTTATTGATATCTTTGGATTTAAATTAAACAAATTATTTTGCTTTTTCTATTTGGTTCAGTATTTCTTTTCCTTTTATTTACTTTTGTTGTATTATTTTGAACAAACGATTATTTAATCATTCCTCTTTTTTTCCTCTCAATGTACTCTATTTTAGTTATTTTATTAGTTAGCCTAAAATTATAACTTCCAACATTGATACAATGCTACTGTTCAGACACTGTACCTAGGAAGACATTTGGAGTAAATAAGCATATGAAGATACCCAACATCATATGTCATTAGGAAACTGTAACTTGAAACCACAATGAGACTGAAACTACCCTTTACAAATTAACAAAGGGATGTAATGTGAGAACTATAACTGCGGTAAGGGCCTAAACTCTGCAAAGACACAGACATAGTAAAAAATAACAACAATAACCAGCCATTGTCCACTATAATTGCTATTCAGGAGTTACATAGCTGATTGTCATAAAGATTCTTACTTTCTCCATAGATATCTTGCAGGCCCTGCATTCCAGTGGATTGGCTGACCCACCTAGATCAGTGGCCTATACCAAGGAACTGACTCAACTGGTATAATGACCCCCATCCACAAACTGACTCAGCACAAGAAGACAATTTTTACACCCCTATAATTCCTCCCCAGACCCAGCCAATTAGCAGACCCAATTGCCTAGCCCTTTGTCTGTCAAACTATCTTTAAAAACCCTTTCTTCCAAATTCTCAGGGATATGGATTTGAGAAATTCCTCCCATCTCCTTGCTTAGTGCTCTGCGATTTTAAACTCTTTCTCCACTGCAACCTTCACTGTCTCATTTTATTGGCTCTTCTCTATGCAGTGGGCAATACAACCCAGTTGGGCTGCAACAGGATACTATTACACACCTATAAGAATGGCCAAAATTCAAAACATTGACAACACCAAATGCTGGTGAGGATGTGAAGCAACAGGAATTCTACTTCATTGCTGGTGGGAATGAAAAATGACATGGCCACTTTGGAAGACAGTTTGCAGTTTCTTACAAAACTAACTGTAATTTTATTACACAATCCAGCAATCGTTCTCCTTGGTATGTACCCAAATGAGTTGAATACTATGTCCAAACAAAAATTTACACATTTACAGCAGTTTTATTCATAATTGCCAAAATTTTGGACCCATCAAGATGTCCTTCATTAAGTGATTAGTTAAATAAAGTGGTACATTCATGCATACTGTTTAGCACTAAAAAGAAATGAGCTAGCAAGCTATAAAGTCATGAAAAGACATGAAGAAATTTTAAATTCATATTACTAAGTAAAGGAAGCCAATTTGAAAAGTCTACATACTATATGATCCCAACTTTGTGACATTCTGGAGAAGGCAAAATTAGAGACCAGTGGTTGCCAGGGGTTTGTAGGGAGGGGGAGAGGAATGATGGAGTACAGGAGAATTTTAGAGCAGTGAAACTATCCTGTTAAAGGAGTGCAAGAAATTTTACCCCAAAACATGACTCCTTGATATGAAGAGTATTTTTAATTAAAGGCCCTTAGAGATCAATAGGCCTTGAAGGGACTTTCCCCCTGTCTCCATAGAGACCAGGTGGACCCATCAAGAAGAACAATTGTCTTTCCTTCCCCTCCCTGTTATCTCATTATCTATTGCAGAAAAGAAGATCAAGAATGCAACCAGACCTGGCCCCACCCTTTTACAATATAAGGGCTGTCTCTCAGGTTCATTTAATTTACAAAAAGAACCATTTACAAGTCAATCTCTGTTCCCCTATCCATTCATTCTCCCTAGTAATCATTTATTGTTCTTCAACAGAATTACCTATATTCCCCATTTCCTCCTACCCTCTGAAATGACTTTATATTAATATAAATATTTGGTTCTCATTGGGATATGGGGTAATCACACTGATTCTCCCAATGTACACAGTAATGGTAGGTAGATAGTGAGGGATTCTGGGTCTCCTAGGGATGAAAGTGGGTGCCATTGCCTCCATCTTGGTCTCACCCCACCCTAATTCTCCATACCTGGGGGAGGAGGGAATACCCTACGAAGCTGCCAATCAGAACTTGGCACACCAGCTGCAAAAGAATGCAGAGGACTCTCTAGCTCACAGGTCAAACAGCATAGGTACCATAGAGTCTGCAAAGTGACCTAGAACCCACATGGGTAGTTAAGATCAAGATCATGTGACGCCCAACTGTCTGATCAAAGTGGTTCCATGGTGACATCTGAGCCACTAGGGAGGTCCCAATCCAGGCACTATAAAACAAGACACAGACCATAACCAGTCTCCTTTTGCACCCTTCCTTTGGCTCTCCCTTTGCTACAACAATGGATCCGGTTGTCATCTGTGGCGTATGTACCATGCTCTGTAAACCTATATCTTGCTCTTGCCCTATAATCCTATCTTTCTCTCCTCAATGAACCTCATTTTTGTGTTTGCCTTACTTTGGCATGTCTGGTCATTCTTCAGCCATGAGCATGCCAAGAACCAACATTTTAGACTGAAACCTGACAGCAATAATAAAATTTGTATATTTGTATGCCTTTTCATTTATTAATCTGCCTTAATGTGTGTTGATTTTTCAGCAAATCTTCCAAGGGCAAAGGGGAAGGTTTCCCTTCACCCCAATGCCATATGCTACTATAATGGTAGGTACGTGACATTACACATTTGTCAAAACCCATAAAACTATACAACACAAAGAGGGGCCCCTGATGCAAACTGTTAACTTTAGTTAATAAAAATGAATCAATATTAGTTCGTAGATTGTAACAAATGTGCCACACTAATGAAAGATATTAATAATTGGGGAAACTATAGAGAAGGGGTAAGAGGAACTCTGTACTTTCTACTCAATTGTTCTCCACATTTAAAACTGTTCTATAAATAGTCTATTAATTAAAACCAAAAAAATAGCTACTGTTAAAGAATAACTTCCTTCTGAACTTTAGCACACTATGGTAACAGTACAGAATTTTAAAATCAACTTTATTGATGTATAATTTGCACACAATAAACAATATTACATGTACACTTCAATAAATTTTGCCCAATGTATATATCCATGTAACCACCACTAAAGTCAAGATATAAAAATTTCCATCACCCCATATGTTTTCCTTGTTCCCAGTGAATCATCACCTTCCACTACTAGTCACATGTAACAACCAGTCTGTTTCTCACTGTAGATTACATTTCTTAAAAGTTTTACATGAAAGGAATTAGACAGGGTGGACTCTATAATATCTTCTTTCTTCTGCTCAGCTCAGTTTTCATGATAACTATTCATATAACTGTGTATATCACTAGGTTATTCTTTTTTATCTGAGCATTTGTTCACTCATTCACCTGCTTATGGACATTTGGTATGTTAAAAGTTTTGGGCTGTTATGAGTAAAGCCGCTATGAACATTAATTCAGAAGCCCTTGTGGGATGTATGTTTTCATTTACTTTGGGAAAACACCTATGAGTAGAATTCTTGAGTTGTATAGTTGTTGTGTTTTTAATACTCTTTATTAATTTTATCCTCACTGGACACATGAAGTGTTCTGAATCAGCAAAAGATCTCTAACTTCTTCACAGTGACTAATAAATGTGTTGCCCTTCCTTCTCTTTCTCTAGGCTTATCCCTGAGGCAGCACAATGAGATCCCACAGAAATTTTTCATACACAAGTGGCTAGATGCTTCATAGGTGCAGAATGTGAAAAAACGATTTTTCTCTGTTTACACAGTGGAAGCCTATCCTTCTGACCTCTGGAAGGATCTTCTCATTACTCCAGTCCTTTAGTGTGTAAATACAATGTCTCCTAGGGCCAGATAGCCCCAAATATCTCAACTTTTAAGAAACAGAAATGTATTCAATGTATGAGCCCAAATTCCTCCCTGAAATGTAAATATCTAGGAAGATAACATTCCAGTCTCTATACCATGCTAAGAGTTAATCTAGCGGCCTATCCCTGGATGTAAATATTTGACTTTGAGGGAGATAAGTTTTTTTTTTTTTCTTTTTGAATCAGATAAATCAATTCTGTCATTAGGGAAACCAAACGCCTACAGATCTAATCCTTACAGTATGTAAAAATATTTCTAGAAGTAAAAGTAAACAATCTCTAACTTTCATCATTAAAGTTTCTATTTCCGTGTGTCAGAAGGCTAGGGCTCTTTTCAGAGACACTGAAAAATCCATGTAAGTTTTATTTCCAAGAAATTATATGTATATTTAACTTTGCAAGAAACTGTGAAGCTGTTTTCCAAAGTACCATTTTATAATCCCATGAGTGATGTGTGAGAGTTCTAGTTGTGCTATATACTTATCAATATTTGGCATTTTCAGTCCTTTAAAATTTAGTTATTTAATGGATAAGTAGTGGAATCTCGTTGTGGTTTGTGATTATTTTCTGTTCCAATTGAAGAAATTATTTTCCTGTCTTTGGCTTCATTGTTGCTGTTGAGAAGTGAACTATTGATTTAACCACCCTTTTCAAGGTATGTTTTTCTTTCACTGTAGCTACATTAAGATTTTCTGTCTGTGTTTTTACTATGCAATGTGACACGTATAATAATTTTTGTCTCACTTTGGATTGGTGGCTTTCTTAAATCTGATGTCCCATTAGTTTTAGGTAATTCTCA